CACTATATTGTCAAGGAAACCAAGGTATAGTGACTACTCTGAGTGAGCTCCTCAGAACCAAGAAAAGTCTCGGATGTATTAGTGAGAAAGATGTTTTGAGCTGCATTATAGGATGGCTCAAGAAGTTAGTTATGAAAGAAATTGATTATAAACATTTGTATCAAAACCTTAAATATATGCTCCTCACATAAGAAAATTAAAACAAATTGCTACGGTCTGAATGGGTTTTCCCAGCCCTCACCAAGTTACATACTGAAATGTAGTAGTCCACCTGATATTGATAGGTGGGCCTTCTGGAAGTGATTAAATCATGAGGCAGAGTCCTCCTAGAAGAGGATACGGTCTTTGTAAAAGAGCTTGAAGATGAGGTTTCTCAGTCCTTTTCCAACTCTCCCACTATTGAGGAAACATCCCGATAGCCCAGAGGTAGTAACATTGTTTTGGATAGTGATGACCCAGCACGTCAGCAGATATTGAACCTGATAGCAACTTTATTTTGGAGTTTTCAGATTCCAGAAATACACATCTAGTGTTTACATATTATCCATTTCTGGCAAGTTATTGTAACAGCATAATCAGATCTAGATACATGTTCATGTTTTAATAAACATTAATAAGTTAGTTTTATAAGCACTATCCTTGAAGAACATTCATACTCATATGTATGTGAGAGATGAAACCTCTTTGATATGCTTCTATGAAAAGGCTACACATACGCCAGTGATAATCTTTTGTACAAACTCTCTGGCTTAAGAATGTCTGTGTTTTCAAAGGAGCTAATATGGTAATGTCCAAGATTTAATATTTACTTGCCTAACTAGTATCTTTTGATCTCAGAATTTAGAATGATCTTCAGAATTTTAAAGATGGCAGGAGTGTCATATAAACCCTTGTCTTCTGAAGAAATGGAAACAAACAGTATTACTAAATAGGAAAATGAACTTGCAAGGACTTTGGTGCCCAGAAACTCCCTCAAATGAGTATGGAAACACACAATGTGTGTATTCTTTGTTTCAGGTAGTCTCAATGTGCACATCAAACCAGCAAGGGGCCCTGTTCTTCCAAAGATTCCCTGTTGACTGGGTCAAGTGGTTTGACAAGGTCATGTAGCTTTGTAAACTTAGCCTTAGTTTTCAACCCCATGCCTTTATCCAGAGTTCTTCTCAATCTATCTTAAAATGAATTATTAGGCTAATAACAAAACCCACTTGAAAAGCATTCATAACCTGTTAGTTATTTGGAAAAATTATTTGCCAGGAGTCTAAAAAATAAACTGGAAACTTTCAGCTCTCAGATTTCTTCATAAGTATTTCAAAATTTCTCAACAGTCATTTCAGCCAAAACTGTATGGATTTTAAACGAGACTGTGTATACAGACAAAACCATTACCACTATTAAAACAGTGCAGGTCCACATGGGATACCAGAATAGCAGCTTTAAGTTTTGCTGACACTACTTTAGCATTATGGCTTTACCACTTCTCACAATTAACAATACAGAGAGCTCTCACCTTTTAAAAAGTGATCTTTTTGTGTATATTATGCATTCATGTCTATGAGTATAACGTTTGTGCCTTTGTGCGTGTGTTTGACAGAGTAGGTGTGAATGTGCCATTGTGTACAAGTACAAGTCAAATACAAGTACAACCTCAAATATCAATCCTCACCTTCTACATTGTTTGGGGCAGAGGCTCTTGTTTTCCAGTACACTACATATACAGCCCGCATGGCCATGAATTCCTAGAGAACCTCCTGTCTCTGCCTCCTGTTTTGCCATGGGAGCTCTGAGATTAGAGACATGAGCTGATAAGCCAAGTTTTATGTTGTTTCTAGGGATTAAAACTCAAATCCTCTTGTTTGTGTGACAAGCATATTATTCACTGAGACAGCTCCGAGACCAATATTTCTATTTTTCATGCTTCCATTTACCTTCAGGAAATCGGGTCGTAACTAGCTTTCCAGGATAATTTGAACAGTATAGATAATAAAGCTGAAATCAGTGACATGGTGTTTACAACATCATAAACACTTATAGATAATCAGACCCACTCTAAGTTCTAATTGTTGTTATTGCACCAAAAAGTAGCATTTTGTCTTATATTTAGGCTTGGACAGTAGCTTTTTAAAAAAGTCTTTGCCAATATGGCCCTTAAATTAAAATGCTAATTATAATATTTCTGATGAAAAGTTAGCACTAATGCTAGTGAAGATGAATGAGGTTTCTCAAACCCCCTGCTTAAGTGGAGCTCGTCAGAGTGGCAACTGGCCTTGTCAAATATTCACCTGTGTTTCTCCACCTATTTTGCTCAGATGTGCAACAACTGATGATGATCTTCTGTATTTTGACTCTCTGTATTTGTTCTGCGTTTCTTCAGTACAGGTTAATTAGTGATCTAGAGATGTCAGGAGCATCCCCACTTCCAACAGCTTAAGGAGCAGCTGGAACTATAAAGAATTCCTGATCCCTTTCAGCTTTTACCCCTTTTACAATATCAATGGAAGGAGGGAAAAGTTTACACTACTTAACAAGACAAAGACAATGTATGTCATTGCATCCATTTCTGTTTCTTCTCTAAGGAAGAACTTCTGCAAAAACCATATGAAAAGAGCAGCTTACATTACCAGGAAAAGTATTACAAAACCATCCTAATTAAAACCCTCAACCACAGTCACTTCAGTTAGCAGAAAGAGATAGCAGTGCACATTAACCTTTATAAGCCAGGCTAATGTCAATTCCCATTTTCATTTGATCCTGTGTTGTCCAAGCTACCTACACCAAGGAGCCTCAGTTAGTGGCTGGCTATGCAGTTCTTGTGCATAGCATTCTCCCATCTAAGACTGAGAAAATGAATGACTGTCACCTGGAGTATTTCCAGGTTAGAAGGGCTTGATCTCAGATAAGATGATGTTCATGGCTATAATCTAGATTAAAGCTCTCCATCTAGCCCATAAATTTCAATTTAATTCTTCTAACCTTTTGCATAACAGAGCATTGGGAGACTTTGGTTTCTAGGTCAGCTCTAGATTTAGGGTGTATCTGTGGGCACAGAGTTATAAAAAGGCAGATTTTAGTCTGAGTCAAGTGCCTCTGCTTCTGCACTGTAAAAATGGCCTAAGAATAAAATGGACATACGTTTCCAACTGTCATAATAAATGCACCAGTGCTCCCCTCTGCCTGCCATCTCAACACCCTTTCTTCTAAGATGTAACAAATAATAGGCTAAGAAAAATTATTGCAAAGTATCAAAAGTACAGGGATTTGGTATTGAGGAAAGTAAAAGCTGACAGGTGGCTCGTTAGTCTCTTGCTTATTTATTTATTTACTTCCATATTTAGTTGGCCAATTAAAGAAAGATTTGGTTCTCCTGTGTGTGATTTAGTTTTGCTCCTGATTTATTGTGATAATGATTTTATAGATAAGAAACTACTATTTTTTTTTTTTTTACATTTTAGAATGAACTCATAGAGCTAAATTGTAAAACATTATCTTCAGCCACCCACAAACATCAGCTTGAATTTCTCAACAGGACTTAAAATGAATAAGTTACCAATGTGACCTAATCCTGCCTCAGCTGTCACTGGCGATTCTTGATAAGTTCGTCAGTCTTCTCAGGATGGAAGAAGATTGACATTTGAATATCACTGTTTTTGGCCACTAGAAAGAGACATTACAATTTCTTTCCAACATTAAAACTAACGTGATAGAATTTTACAGTTCATCAGTACCAAACAAGGCCCATGTGAGACAAAAGCAGGTTGCAGGTGCATACTTAGTTAAATGATTAAAAAAAATTTGTTTAACTCCCAATACTGGGAATTAATATACTGTTGCCTTTTATGCATATCAAAAGTGCTTTAACATTTTAATTCATATTTGATTTGTATGTGTGTCCATTCAGGCATGTGCCATAGTGTTGTGGAGGTCAGAAGTCAACTTGCATCCTTCCACTATGTGGATCCTGGGATTGAACTCAGGTCCTTGGGAACTGGCTTTGCCCACTAGTCCAATTGTCTGAAACCAAGACAGTTTTCAAGATAGGAGCTATTAAATAAGGTGGTTACTACCATAGATTTTTAAAAGCAGAAAAGTAAAAAAAAAAAAAAAAAAGTATATGCTTGAACCACTGTAGATGAGACTGTTTGCATTGTGAATTCCTAAGAGGATTAATCAGAAGCCAGTGCTATCCAATATTTTCTAAAGCAACTGCAAGAGATTAAACAGAGAGCCTTCGAGCATGAAGAGTCAATGGTGACAAATGTGGAATGTGGCAAGTGGTAGCTCAGGTTGCCTGTTATGACATGTGAAAAGGATTAGGTGGCATGAAGAAAATATTTTCTAAGGTCTTTCAATCTAATGATTTTCTATAGGCTAAAGGACTACAGAAATTGTGATCGTCAGGAATGAACTCCCAGATGTTTTAGTTTGGTACATGCAGGGATTGATTATTGGAAGGAGGGGGGCAGAAAGAACCCTCCTGGGTCTGCTGAGGAGCATCCCTCTCATTCATCATCCCCTCTGGGATGCACTTCTGACTGCAAGTGTGAGAGATGGATTACAAAGCAGTTCACAGATCCCATACCCTCTGTATTCCCAAGGTGCTTAGTTTCTGTTCATCAGCACATCATTGACTCCTAACTGTACCCTATCTCTAGTAAGCATATCTGGATTTATTCACAGAAACCCCTTTTCTTGCTTTTTAAATAAGTAATTAGTGTTACTGAAAATCACCAGTTCACTCATAACTATCAGCAATCATAGGTAAGTTGAGCATTGCTTCCCACAAAGAAACCGGTATATTTTGAAGTCTTGATGGAGGGATGCTGCTGTGGTAGCAATGGCAACATGTTGCGAGTGATTCACTTTTGTAAGAAAGAAAAGTTGCCAAAACTGTGCCTGGTTTTGAGGTAAATGTTTTCACAGATGGTTAACAATCCTACTTTCCCATGCAAATATTTAAACCCTAGAAAACAACAATTTGAATAATATATGCATTTTCTTACCTTCTATTGCTGATAAGAGAACCCTAGAGTGATCATATGCAATGACATTTGCATATCTGTTCTTTGGTTTGTTTACTTCCAAGTTTGAGTGTTCCCATGTGAATTGCTGGCCAGGGTCAATTGACTATAAAAGAAAAACAGTGCACACAAAGTCAATACTGAAAAACATAGAATTAAGGCATTTATCACAAGACATGGACATGGTTTAAAAAGAAATTCCAAAACCACACTTCATAAGGTTGATTTTAATTAAGAAGCTGAACACTAGCATAACCTACATAGCATAAACTATATGCCAACAAATATCATAAGAGACATTAACAATCACCAATATTAACCCAAATGAAAAGTATCAATGTAGAAGTTCTGTTAATATTAGAACAGCAGGGCTGTGTCTTACTTTTCCATTTCTTTCTCTGCTGCTGTAGTTTACAAGTCATTTTAGCTCAACATTCCATCTGGTGCTGTGAACAAAATTTGCCTGGAATACTCCTCCTTTTCTTTCCTGTTGGACCCCGCACATAGGCACATAGTTTCAGCTGACTGGAATACTCTTTCCCAGTCTTAGGAGCTGGACCTGTGCACACAGTTTCAGCTGACTGGAGTACTCTTTCCGAGTCTTTCCTGCTGGACTTACACACACACAGAGTCTTAGGAGCTGGACCTGCACATACACAGTCTTAGGAGCTGGACCTGCACACACATAGTCTTCGGAGCTGGATCTGCACACACAGTCTTAGGAGCTGGATCTGCACACACACACAGTCTTAGGAGCTGGTGCCTGAACACACTTTCAGGTGACTGGCCTTGCCTCCGGCTCTGCTGTGCAAAGACAGGCTGTGCTTCTATTTCTCTGCCTATTTACTCCCATTTTCAGGGACATTTATGATTTTATCTGTTTCTTTATAACATACCATAGCCAATAACAAGGCAATTTCTGCAATCCAAACAGCTGACAGTGACCGTGAGGAAGGAAAGCTAGTAATCATCATCACAGTCAGAAAGACAACTTGCATCCCTACAGAAAGATTGGGTTGCTTTTCCCCTTATAATATTGTTTCTGTGTATCATCGTGTTTACCAAGTTTGCCTCCTTTTATCCCTGAGTTTTTTCTTATATTTGCTAATTTTCAACATTTTTTAATGTCATAGTTCAAGCAAAAACAATCTACAGTATGTACTATGTGGATACAAAATGCATTTTGTAGGTGACTCAACAATGATCAAAAAACTAATTTCAGGCTTAATTGCTTAACTGAAGAGTTTAAAACATTGATAGTCCAGGAAGGAGCTGTATGGCACATATGGAAATGTAGTCTTTGAGAAGGAAACCTAGAACATACAGGAAAATTGTAATGGATACTGGGTCATTATGCTTCACAACCAGTATAATTTAATTTTCTTAACTCTTAGGAGATGGCTACCCCCTCCCCCACATTTGGCAGATGAAGAAGTAGAAGGAAAGACTGAGTCAGTAAATCAGACCACTGAAGGTTTTCCCTGACAGGCAGTGGGCAGTGTGCTAACTGGTGTAAACTAACCTAGTTAAACCTGCAGCAGTGACTCAGACACTTTCAAATGTAGGCCAGAGAATCAACAGCTCACTACTAACTACTGCTTGGTAGTTACTAAGCACATGGCTGTGGAACTGTCCAGGATGCCACTGCAGAATGAAGAAACCCAAGACAGGAAACACATCTAAACACCACCATCCTTCACCTCCCAGCTTATCATCCTGTGTCATTCTGGGACAATTACATAAGAAATCAAGTTTTAAAAATGAGGTTGGCTTCACATGGATGATAGGACAGATGGGACACAGCTTACATTTATACTTGTTTTACACGGATCAAACAAACATTGATTAAATAATGCTGACTTGCCTTTGTGCAGCTCAGCACTCATCCATCTGTATCTATCTGTCTGACTGAACATTTAACAACACACAGCACAGGTCATTATTTTCTGAGCTTGTCAGAATGCTGAGAGCAGTAAACTCAGCAAAGAATAAGTGCAGAGAGCCGGTGAGGTATACTAACATCTTTTATACTTAAAAAAGAAAAGAAAACAAAAACAGAAAAGTGCTTTGAAAATCACCTTTCCATTATCCATGTAAGAAAGGCAAAGAAATTGTAAATAACTGAAACTCTCTTTCCTCATTTTTTTTCTCCTTTCATGGTGCTGGTGATGACACAGGAACTTTGCTTCTGTGAACTCTAGCCTCTTGTGTTGCACTCTCTTAAGGGTGAATATCACGGCCAACACGGACAAACAGCAGCATAGATGCTGGCTGATAGGGAAGGTGATTTCTATTTCAACCTCAGATATTTAGCTGTCCACCCTGACCATGCAGCTCCCTATTAGAAATTAAGATGAGGTCATTGGAATAATTTGAAATTAACACCCTTTCATCCAGTGGACCCACCGATTCTTTTCCTGCTTTTGGCCTACTGCTTGTGTGCTCTTTTCTGTTCAATTCTCCTGTCACTGTCACTCTGGGTCAAACAAGCTTCCTTTTAATGTTGATGCATTTTTTAGCACTCAAAGAACCCATCTTCACCTCCCTCAGCTAGAGTGATGGCGAGGTTTCCTTTAGTCTCTGAAGAGTTTTGAAGCCTGGAGGTACAGCGGGCAGACTTATTTTACTAAAAGTTCATGGGTTTTTATATTTCATAAACTATATGAAATCTGCATACTATTTTGTCACAGAATTAATAAATAGGATTGCTTCATAGTATTTATAATTTATTTGTCTAGCCAGTCAATGGACCCTTCAACCCCATAACCCAGATGTATGCTATGTAACAACAGCTTGATCAAGATGTCAAAGGGTTTCACATCCCTTTCACATCACAGGGACCTAGGCAGACTGCCCCTCTTCGCCATAATTTCAGACACAATCATTTTAATGCTAACAGACTTTCAAATCAGTTGCTTCTGGGATGGATGGGAACAGATGCAAGGAAATTTCCCTTGTGGGTAATTCAAAGAAGAAAGGCAGTCGCAAGTAGACACTTGCTAATATCAAATGGTTGGTCTCAATGTCTAAAATTGTTTTCCTCAACTACAACTTTGTCTTAAAATGAGTAAGTGGAAGAATAAACTACATGTACCACATTAAGTTCCAATTGTGTTCTATGTTTTCATTAAAAAGCCACAATAAAAATGTAAGTGTTCCTATCCAAAAGCTATGTAATACTTGTGTTAACTCATTTAATTTTAAATAAAAATCTTATGTGTGGGTATCATAGTTATAGTAATGATTGTAATGATTGAGGTGTCCAAAGGTAGATGTTTTGTTCATAATGAAATAGATACTAGGCAGAAAGGTCACATTTGTTGTGTTTCCTTTCTAGCTGAGTCAAAGCTTACGTGGTGGTTTCATACCCACTCCTCTGCTGGTTCTTAAATACAATGCATGGAAAGTTGGAACCAAAATTCTGTAAAGAACTGCTGATCTCTCTGTTTGTGATTCTAAGCACAGGACAGAAACCTCATATATTTGCACAACAGATTATAGTCCTTGAGTGACACTCCCTGGGCATGACCTTTTTTTGTTCGTAGTGCTGAGGTCATCACTTTAAAACAACATTCTTTAGTGGTTTTCTAAAATCCAACCTTTGGGCCAAAAGAAAAATATAATTTCCATTTACAAAATACCACACAATCCATAATCATAAGGACTCAGTATTACACTTCATCCTTCACATTAGCCAAGAGAAAAACCTCAAAATATTCCTTTAGAGACTCATCAAAGAACTACCACAAAAATAAGAGTCATACTGCTTTTCTTTGTGTGTATGTGTTTGTAAACCAAATAACAAAAATTGAATTATATAGGAGGACAAGACCAACTATGTTACTAGTCAAACAAGGGTCCAGACCTTTTTATTTTTTAACTGGAACTGAACTTTCAATGACCTTAGCTTCTGGAGAAATTCTAGCTTTCTACATAGTTCAGCTGGTTCTTCCACAGTGTGGCTCACTCTCACGGCATTCTTATGTCCCTTTTGAGGTTAGAATAGCAATCTGGAACTGGTTGTTAACTTTTATGGAAAGCAGTTTCTCCTTTTCATTTATTTTTATTCATATCTTCTCTCCATTCCATTTGAAAATGGGAAATTGATGTATATATCCATGTGAACAAAACACATGCTTACATAGTTGGGAAGGGCTATATTTTCCACAGTTAGCAATTGCCAGGAGAACATTCTTCCAAGAAAAGAACATGCATTTAGTTGAAGCTAACAATCCCTCATAAGCGAGAATTTGAGATGAGGTGGAAAGTAAAATCAATGTCTGAAAGACAAGGGTGAGGCTGTTGTTTCCAGCTCTGCTTCGCAGCAGCAAGTTAAGTAACCTAAGTCTATATCTTCTGTGTCCCTTCCCTCTGTGTCCCTTCCCTCTTGCCTTTTCCTTCACCCATGTGTCAGGTTTGTGCCCTCATTTTCTTCTTGCCACTTTTATCCAGTTAGTTATCAGCTCTTGTTGAGCCTTTCCCTGTAATAGCATCTCTGATACAGGCTACGATAACAGTGTGAAGAACTGAAACAGGATTTTTCTAGGTTATTAGTGTTAATAAATGGACATAGAAGCTTTCTTCCTTGAACAGAAGAAGAGATGTATACAATTCATAAAAAAGTTTATAAATGAACCACTCTTGTCCAATGTAGTAAAAAAATGCTTCTGGCAGACATTTCTTCATGCACAATTTGCCTTCAGGTAATAGAATTGCATCAAGGATTTACATTGTCAGATAGTTAGATTTGGAATTTAGAGCATAGTTTGTAATGAATATAAAACTTTATTTAGAAAGTATTACTTATTCTTATATTTTTTAGAGCTATGACATGTGGAGGAAGTAGAAAGAGTAACTATGCCCCTAGTAAGACACTCAGCTATGTGAGGTATTGAAGTGACTCTCCCTTACACTGTCACAGCAGTACAGATAAGTCACTGTTTTCCTATATGGCTCCACTCCTAGAAGTACTTTTAAATGATCTTAACAGGCTAGAGAGCCAGCAGAATGAAAACAGTAACAAAAGCCCTGAATAGCCCTTACCTTTCCAAGGCAATGCAATGTGGGCTCTGGAACTGGGATCACTCTTTTTATTCATGATTGTAA